AGGGAAAAAAATTTACTATGTGTTAAGTGAATCTAAAAAAGCAAGAGCTGTCTTCCTGCTATCAGACAAAGCAAAAACAAGCATTCAAGAAATAAAAAGGGATAAAGAAGGAAACTATATTATGCTGAAAGGAACCATAGACAACAAACCAATATCAGTAATAAACTTAAATGCTCCAAATGCCTTAGTATCCAAATGCATAAAGGAAACATTACCTGAGTGTCAAGAAGACATAGACAGTAACACAATAGTGACAGGAGACTTCAATATCTCTCTATCAGGTTTGGACAAGTCTAACAGAAAGATAAACAAAGGGAAAATGGGAACTGAACAAATTTCTGGAGAAACTAGGGTTAAAAGACCTATGGCATCTTCCAATTAGGAGCGCAAAAGAATATACATATTTCTTTGTACCATATGGAACGTTTACAAAAACTGACCCTGTATTAGGACATTGAAATACTGCAAACAAATGTAAAAAGGCAAAAATAGTTATTACATCCTTTATAGACCATAATGCAATAAAAATAGAAATTGGTTCAAGGACCCCGAACAAAAGATATAGATCCAAATGGAGACTTAAATGAAATCTTAAATAATGAGTGGGTAAAAGAACAAATTATATAAACAACAACTATGTAAAAGAAAATGATAATGATGAAACAACATACCAAAATTTCTGGGATGCATTTTATACTCTTTTATATTCTTTGTGGAAAATGTTATTAGAATAAGGAAAAATTGGAACCTTTAGAAATGTTCACAGTAATTTCCAATATTCTTTGTTCCATAAACCCCTTTGAACAAAAACAAAAAAAGTTTTGTGAATCCCAAGAGTAATTTAATATAGTACTCATAATATCCTTTTACATTTGTTAATTAAGTACTTATGATAACTACAATCATAACTTTTGGCCCCAAGAGGTCCATATTAAAATTTATATTATAGAATTATAACTATAAATTATAAAATTTTATTCTACCTATAATTATCAAAATTCACATTTTATAGAATGATAAGACTAACTATAAAAATAATTATGAATATTTTATGTAAGACATACTACAATAACTAAAAGAAATAATCCAGCAATACCTCATATGCTTACTATTATCTACAAGACTTTATATAAAATTTCTTTATCTTACAAATTTTGTTAACTCCAAGTAACATTTTAATGAAATAAGTTACAACATGGAAGGTATTTAACAGTATGATAACCATGTGTAAATTTTATTTTGATATTAGACTTTTTAATTTGAATAAAAGTTTGCAATATTTGGTTCAACACTACACCAGGGGTGGGGAACCTACAGCGTCAAGGCCACATGTGGCATTCTACGTCCTCAAGTGTGGCCCTTTGAATAAATCCAAACATCACAGAACAAATTCCCTTAATGAAAGGATATGCTCTATAAAACTTGGACTCAGTCAAAAGGTCACACCCAAGGACCTAGAAGGCCACATGTGGCCTCAAGGCTGCAGGTTCCTTATTCCTGTATTGTTTTTTTTTTCCTTGTTGAGAGACAGAAATTCTTTTTTATTTTTGGCCATCTAACTAATCTGTAAAAATGAATAACTACTTACAACAGCAAATATTTACTTTTCTACTGTACTAAATAATAATTTTACTTAAAGTTCAATTGCATATATTGCTTCATTTAAAAAACCATGTTTATATAAACTAACCTTTGTAAGGGAAAAAAAAATCTTCAGACATGACTTTCTTCTTTTCCACCACTGGCATGACTGTTACACTCGCACAGAACCACTTCTTAATGACTGACCAGTGTTGAAACCAGTTCATTTGAAAACCTGCCAGACAGAATAATAACATAAATGGAGGATAATTTTAAATTAGAAAGTAATCTTAGAGGCAGCTAGGTGGTACAGTGGATAGAGCTCTGGCCTTGGAGTCAGGAGGATATGAGTTCAAATGCAGTCTCAAACACATAATACTTACTAGCTGATTGACCTTGGGCAAATCATTTAACCTCACTGCCTAACCCAAATAAATAAAAAAAGTAATCTTAATGTGGCAATGAGAAGTAATACGAAGTTTTTTTCTGTAGAACACTTGGGATGATACATGATGATTTCAAGATGGCTTCTAATGCACATGACCAGTGATCCCAGTATCCTAAACAGCCTGACATTTGAGCTGCAAAAATGCAAAAAAATTTGTAACATTTTGATCATCTGATTACATTGCTGATAAGGTACAATTACAAGGTAAAAGAGGGGAAAGAGGGGAATGAGAGAGCCACTCTAGTGCAGTGTATAAAACACAAATAAGGATATGTACATGCATCTGACCATACACTGGGAATTGGTTTATACTCTGAAGTCAAACTCTTGTGGTGGTTTGAAAATAATTTGATAACAGGTTGAGAAACATCATGTTTAGTCAGAAGCAGAGTTTGATATAATCACTGCACAAAAACCAAAATCATGTACATGATCATGATAGTTTTAAATAGCTGAGGAAAAAATCTATAATGCTTCAAACATGCACATACCAATTGTCACAGAAGAAAAATATATTTGTAACATAATTCAACAATTATTTATTTCTTTAGGAACCATGAAAGAATTTTTAGCAGAAAACTCTTAAACTGTCATCATGAACTCTTGAAGGGTTCTCGAACCACTAAATGGTAACATGTTTGATGGCATCATTCAATGCAGCAACATGCCTGCTGGCTTATTCTATTGTTGACAGTTCTGCTCAAGGGGAACAAAAAAAAATAGAAATTAGAGATATACTACATAAAGAGACAGCGAAATTAGAATTACAACTAAGAGCTGAGTGGGTTGACCAGGTAACTGGGGCTTCCATCTAGGGATCCTGGCTCAAGTAAGGCACAGGATCAACTGGGATTCAGTATAAGGTTAAGTAGGATTACCAGAACAAATGCCTTTCACAGGGGTACTCAGACATCTTCAAACAGTCACAGGATCATAAATTTAGAGCCAGAAGGGATCACTGGATTATAGAATTACAGCTGGAAAGGACCTCAGAGACCATATAGTCCAACCTCCACATTTTACAGATGAAGAAACTGAGGTAAACTAGAGCGGTTAAATGATTGTCCATCATCACTCAGGTAGTTACCACCTTTTCCCCCTGCACCTTGTTGCCTCTCTCACTTATTGCCAGAATTTAGAGCAAAACTGCCAATTATAAGCAACTTTGATTTGGTGCGGAAACCTTAGTAATTCCCATGCCAGCTGAACAAAGGCAAGATGTGATGGATGAACTTTGAACCCCATCCCAGAGGGTAATGTTTACACTTAAGATAGACAGTTACAGAGAAATTACCAGGAAAGGATGAGGAAAACAAAGCAACTACCATGACAACCACTACCCAAAACCTGCCAGATGAAATAAAACCTCCTTATAACACCTTCTGGGTATTTGATATTATAAAATATTTTTTAAAATTAATAATAACAAATAATAAAATAAATAATATTTTATAAAATACTGTTCAGTGTTTCACTGAAAGGTGGGGAAGAGAAACTAGGCTGACTATACACAAAAGTGATCATTATAGCTTAGCAAAACTGTTCTTCCAGGCAGCTGAAAACCAGAATGGCAGTGGAAACCACCACAGAGTAGAGAGAACAGTTATCAGAAGAATGGGCCCTTGCCTGTGATGAATGGCTAAGGAACCTCACAGAATCTATGGATGATCAGAATAAAACTATTATCCTTCGGAGTTGGAGACACAATGAAGACAGAGACCATTAATCAGGCTTTAGAGAAGGGAGCTGCTTTTGATTTTCAATTTTTGCACACAGTAAGTGCTTAACAAGTGTTTTTTCATTCATTCCAAAAAAAATAGGATTGTATTAGAATCTTCTCTGAGGTTCCTTTCATCTCTAGATCCATGGTCGTGTAACAGATATGGCAAATTGGTCAACTGTGAAGGAGGACAAAATCAAGAAGACTCCATATCTGTAAAGTGCTAGCTAAAAATGTGGTGGGTGATTTTTAAGTGAGCATTGTACATAAATAAAGGAATAACGTGTTGGATAGACAGGAAGGGCATATTTTAAAATAAAGGTGATGTTAAAAAAAGATATCATCAACAACAAAAAAACTAATTGCAAACTATGGCAGTTCAATTCAACAAATATTGTTTCAAACTATAAACTCTGGGCCTGGGTGCTTTATACATTCCGGGAGAAAACACTTTCCAGATAATAAAATTTTCCTAATAACATTTGAGTTTAAGTTCACAACCGTGGTGAAGGAAAAGGAAGCCAAAGCTAAAGTTAGGCTTACAACCGGTAAACCAGTAAGGAATAAACTTATTTGGATTTTTTTTTTATTCCAGCTAGGTTGTTACGAGGACTAAATGAAACATCTGTGCAGGTGCTCTGTAAACCTTGTTACTGCTTCTCTAGTATTGGCGTTAGTGCCAAGCACAGCTCAGAACACAGAATTTTTATTGTTCACTTGAGCTGCTATAAAAGCAGTTTACAAGCGAGGAAATTAGCGGACTTTTCCTACAGCAGGGGCAGTCTTTGAATTTCGCGATTTAATTAGTAGGACTAAGGTGGAGGGCTACCTCTCTGGATTTCTAAATGTTGGCTATTTTTATTTTATATATATATACATACACATATACATATCTATATATACATACATATATACATCGTCCTCAACGTTCCCAGACTGTTAACCTTAGACAGTTCTCTCCAAAAAGTGGCGTACTAGACTTTACCTGAGCTAAGGCTGCAGAACCCTGTGAGTGGGGCAGAGCCCTTCGCCTCCAGGGATCAGTGAAACTCGAAACAGTAGGTGACCAGATGAGAAGAAAGGAACGAAAGGAGTAAAGAGGGAGGAGGTAAATGGGAGGGGCGAGGAGGAGGTAAATGGGAGGGGGGAGGCTTTTTAAGTTATGTATTTTCTTTTAACCAATAGTAGCCCTCGGTTTGGGTCCCCTCCCCGAGCCATTATTGGCCAATTCATAATATAAAGGCAGGCTAGCAGGAGTCGGACAAGTCTAAAGAGGGGAACTGGGTCAAAAAAGAATGTTTTTGTGTTTTTGTGTTTCGAGGTTCACTGAGGTGTCGCCCCAATCCGTACAGGTCTATCCTTCGTAGGTCCCCTTATCCTCCGACACCATGGCACTGAACCCAGGCAAGCCGAAGTCCAGCGTGCGCCTGGTTTTCTTTGGCGCAGCTGGCGTGGGCAAGACTGCGCTCATCCAGCGCTTTCTGGCGGACACGTTTGAGGCTCAGCACAAGCGCACGGTGGAGGAACTGCATTGCCTGGAGTATGAGCTGGACGCGCAGCAGGTGCGCGTGGAGATAATGGACACGAGCGGCAGCTATTCGTTCCCGGCCATGAGGCAGCTGGGGATCCGCCGCGGGGACGCCTTCGCCCTGGTCTATTCGCTGCAAGAGCCCGAGTCCTTCCAGGAGGTGCGGAGGCTGCGCGCCGAGATCCTGGAGACCAAGGGCGAGGCGCCCAGCCCGCCGCCCATCGTGGTAGTGGGCAACAAAAGCGACCTGGCGCCCAGTGGGAGCTTCCCCGACGCTGTGATCGCTGCCGTGGAGCTCGAGTGGGGCGGCATCTACCTCGAGGCGTCCGCCAAGCTCGGAGAGAACGTACTGAGCCTCTTCCAGGAGCTCCTGCAGCTCGTGCACCTGCCCAGCCCCCTCGGCCGCCTTAGCCCGGTGCTGCGCCGTCGTCGCCAGACTTTCCCTGGGGGAGCACCAGATGGGGCGGTGGGGGCGGTCTCCACGTCCCGAGCAGCGATGCGCAAGCGTCACAGTTGCGCAGTGTCTTAGCGCTCCCGATTCCACTTTATCCGAGTGTCCCAAACCTAACGAAAGAAAGCGCAACCCCGGCTTAGTGCCCTTCCCTTTCTTTCTCGGTTTTCTCCTCACTTTGGTTCAGACTCTTGAACTTCCCCCTTGCTGAAGCTGCTGCGGGCATCCTGCCACTACTTACTCGCCTCTCCCCGTAAGGGGCGCAGCTGAGCTCTTTCCCCGGGGAGGCGGATGTTATGTGTCCCCGTGGGACTGGGTCCCGGGATTGGCTGATCCCCGCGTTTAGGCTGGTGCGGGGATATATACGTCCAGCATGCCAACATTCCTGTGTTAGGATGGGCGGGGTGGAAACCAGGTGCCAAATGTGAATAACTAGGAAGTCCTGCACTTGCTGATCTGTACTGAAGTGTGTGCTGAACTCCGGGAAATGGGTGCTGCTGGACTATTGCGGTGGCCGCTGGTCCCATGGAAGGCTTCTGGGTAGGGTAGCAGTAAAAACTCCAACATCTTCCATGCAGTTAAATTGGGGGCAATTTGAGGGAGTTTGGACTAGAAGATTCCTTCCAGCTCCAAATCCTATCACACTACGAATATGAGAAGATCTTTACTTGGCTATACAGTGGAAAATGCCTGATGTTCCAGGCCTCTGAAAAATAGCATCCATGGTAAACTGTCAAGGCCAAATTTAATCGCTCCCCTTGAAAAGTCTGCCCGGACCTTTAATCAGTTCTGCGGGAGGGGGCATGTTAGCTTCAAGGGACCCCATTAACAGTTGTTTTCTTCTACCCCACATCCCCTCAATGCCACAGTTTACCCTCGCAGCTGCAGTGCTTCTTAAGCATTTTCATTGTTTTAGCTTCCTGACTAGGTTGACTTCAGGGGCAAGGACTGGCAATGGCATAGTACATATATACATATGCATATATATTTGGTATACAAATGTGGTTCGTCCAATTCAGGACTATGTTGCTGAGGTTGGGTGTAAATATTTGTAAATAAATTTCTATTAACTACAGTAAAGGAATTCCGTCCTTCTGTTAAAGTTTGATTATATAGCTAAAGTTTACTGTGATCCTCACAACACTGTGAGGTAAGCGCTATCACCCCCATTTAACAATTGAGGAAATAGGCTCATGCCCAGGATCACACAGCTTGTTAGTTTCTGAGATGTAGTTTGAACTCTGTTCTTGACTCCAAGGGCAATACTTTGTTACTGAAGACAAATCATTGGAATACCTTAGCTAGATCCCTTATTTCATTTGATCGTCACAACAACTCCATAAGGCAAGCAGTGCAAATGTCATTATCCCTATTTTACAGATAAGGAAACTGAGGCTCACATGTTAAATAACTTATGATAATAAATATCACAACCAGAACTTGAACTCAAGACTTCTGAGAACTCTCAATCTTCAGCAGCTCACCAATTTTGCCTAGTTCAGTTCAGTGGTTTGTTTTTTTTCTTCTTTCAGTCATGTCTGACTCTTCCTGAACCCATTTGGAGTTTTCTTGGCAAAGATACTGGAGTAATTTGCCATTTTCTTCTCCAAATTTTGCCCAAGGTTAAGTCTAATACTATGCAATTACATGAAATGAAAGTTCTTCACCTTAAAGGTTTTTTTTGGGAGGGAGGAGAATGGGGTAAAGTGGAACATAGGGAAATAGCCCACATGTGTATAGTCCTTGTAGAAAAAGGAAGAAGAAATTCCTTCCTAATAAGGCACAGTGGCATGGTAGATAAAGCAGATTAGTAGGATGTGGGTTCAAATCCTGGCTCAGACACATACTAGTAGTGGGACCATGTGTTTAGCCTTTCTGAACAGCCCTCATATGTAAAATGGGAATAATAGCACTTATTTCACAAAGTTGTTGTGAGGTTCAAATGACATAATGCATATAAAGTCTATTGTAAAACTTTAGCTATATGACCATTATAAGTTTTCCAGTAAAGAAACATAGGTGTTCCATAGAACCCTGCAAAAGGAAGACCTGCAAAAACAGGCCACTGTTAGCACCTTTCCTGCCTTTCTTCTTTACCTTCACAGATTCAAAAAGTTTGCAGGTTTAAATTGTTGAAAGAGTGTTTTTTCAGGCCCAGGAGAGAACAGTTTCTGTTGTTAGATTACTAACTACTAAGTATAAGCAATTCTCCCCAAATAAATTTGTTAGCTTTACAGGAAATCACCAGGACACTCTCACATCTGGCCATATATCCAGTTCTAATTACTAAAGCCCATTTGTCCCTATTTACAAAGCCAAAGGGAAGGGAAGCGCCACCCACCCATATTTCCTCTTCTTTCTTCCCAGCCTGGTCTCTTGTTGATCTGAAATACAGTCATTTTAGGGTTCATTCTTAAAGCAGACACTACACAGGAATATCCCAATTATTATCACAAAGGGTATCAGAAGTTACAATTAGTTATTTTTTAAACATCTGTCAAACCAGATGGGTTCACAATGATCTATGTTGTATGCATGTGTGTCCTGGTAAGCATTAAAGCCCATTTCACTTTCAGAACTTTCTGCTTTTTAGGTCAGACACAAATATCTGTGGACTGAACACATTCTACAAGGACTCGGTTTGAATCTGCTCTCCAAAGTCAATTCTGTTCTTTTAACCACCTTTGGGTCCTTCTGAGGCAAAAAAAAAAAAAAAAAAAAAAAAAAGTGATAATAAGTGCAGGAAAATGCTGGCCTCTATCTAAGTCTGGTGGGGGTGGGGTGATAACATACCTAATATCCATAACTGTTCTGCTGTTTTAACTGTTCTGAAAACTTTGCTTATCTGTTCCATCCTTTCCCAGTCCTAGCTGTGTATCTTACCTCTGATTATTCAGTTGCCACTCTTTTTTAAAATAAATTTTATTCATATCTTTTGTTTTCTTTATATCACCAGAATTTCTCCCAGGATCCTTTCTCCCCCTTTCCCACCCCTTAAGCCATCCCAAATGACAAATGATACTTTAAAAAAAAAAAGTAAGAAAGGGAAAAAAATTAGCAAAACTGATTCATATATTGGGGAAATCTGAAAATATATGTGCTATACCACACTCATGGACCTATTACTTCTGCAAAGGAGTTGGGTGGGTGTGCAAAAAGAGTTAGTTTTCTTAAACATCATCTTTATTTCTACATATATTCCTCCCTACTCCGTGACAGAAAATTGTTGATATCAAATGTAATGTTAACTGCCACTATCTGTTAACCATCCTAGCAATGTCAGAATTCCAGCTATATCCTTGCATTCCTACCTTGAGCCACATTTTAAGTCCTCACCCTAGGACCTTTCCTTGTAAGCAAAGTCAGCTTGAACGGGATAGTAGCCCCTGATGCTCTTACCCCTTCCATAGGGATTCATGGCATGAAGGGCAAAATAGCCAGAAGGAAGCAGTTTTCTTTCCTTGCTCAAATTGCTGAGGGTGGCTGGTGTCTCATGACCAGGCCTTGCTATCTCACACTACCTCCTCAGGCTCTCCTACTGAGAGCATAAGGACCTTTTTCATGGGTCTCTGGGTTGAGAAATCCATTGTACTCTACACTCATTGGACATCCCCCAGGGTGACCAGTTTGCTACCCTGTTATCTCAATTAAAGATGCTTTATTCCTCCAGTTACGACTTTGACATTAAATGATGGTAGTGGTGGGATTCATTGAATATTAAGTCTTTCACCGTCCAGGGAGTGAGCTTCTGGACACCCTGGTACCATCATGGGCCCCTTCTGCCCAGTCCCCAAGCCTCCTCCCCATTGGAGCAGTAAGTACCTAATTTTTAATTTTGGACTAGGTAGAGAGGCCATTCTCTACCTCAATTCTTATTAAGCCTTAATCACTGAATGGGTGTTGCTTCAGTCAAACTGAGATCCCTTAAAGACCTTAGCTTGAAAAGGTCATAGTCCCCCACTGCATCCTGGGCCATCTCCAGTTGTCCTGATCTGTGTCTGGCCACTGGACTCAGATGGCTCCGGAGGAGAAAGTGGGGCTGGTGACTTTGCACACCCTTCCCTCAATTAAATCCAATTCCCTTGTATGTTGTGGCATCACCTCCCTGATGTCATGGTCCTCTTCCAGAATGAAGTACAAACAGCAGCAAGCTAATCATAATTGAATCCAGACTCTCATCTTTTTAAGTTGAGTCACCTCTTTAATTGAGAATTGGTTAAAAAAAAAAAAGATCCATGGACAGTTAATCTGGAGTCCACTTTACCTGACTGCCCAAAATGAACTTCAGTCAAATGGCTTCAAAGTATGATTTGAATACTTGCAAGTTTTTGGGACATTGGCAATTATTGACAAAATCTGATCCCTGAAACGGCTGGCTCCAGTGGGGTTCATTTGGCAGAGATAAAATTAGCTACTAAAAAATGCCCTTTGATAAGGCAGGGTCGAAAGTCAAACACCCTGAGAGGGACTCATTTAACCAATGGCTATTTAGAAGCCATTAAGAGGGAAGCAAAATCTAGGCTTTCATCCTCCAAGAAAAACATTAAAAAAAATTCTAAGTTGAAAAAGAGACTGAATCTAAAATATTTCTCCTCCAGAAAGGATTAGGCCAATTAGAATCCCAAAAGAAAGAAAATGAAAACCAAAATAGAGGCTCTCAGGAGATGTGAAGGACCTGAGGAAGACAAACAAGATTTTCTATATTATGAATGTAATAGAATACTTTTGTGCTATAGGAAATGATGAGCAGGCAGACTTCAGAAAACCTGGAAAGATACGTATGGACTGATGCTGAGTGAAGTGAACAGAACCAGGAGAACGTTGTACACAGTAGCAGCCACATTGTGCAATGACTAATTTTGATAGACTTAGCCCTTCTCAGCAATGCAAGGATCTAAGACATCTCCAAAAATCTCATGATGGAAAATGTTATATACATTCAAAGAAAGAACTGTGGAGTTTGAATGCAGATCAAAGCATACTATTTACTCTTTTGTTTCTTCTGTTTTGTTTTGTCTCCTCTTTCTTGTGGTTCATCCTATTGGTTCTAATCCTTCCTTACAACATGACTAACATGAAAATATGTTTAATAGCAATGTATATGTAGAGCCTATATTATATTGCACACCATCTTGGGAGGGGAGGGAAGGGGAGAAAAATTTAAAACTCAAAAGCTTATGAAAGTGATTGTTGAAAACTAAAAATAAATTAATATAAAAAAGAATGTCTATATTAGCCTGACATATATGATATGTTGTGTATATATATATATGTAATATGATACATATAGCATATATAGTCTAACATATACATATAAACATGTATACCAGTATACATGTATACACACATATGTGTGTATGTGTGTGTGTTGGTCCCAGAATTTGACCCAAAAAAGGACTTTGTTTTGTACACACTAAATTTTTTAAGGAAGCTGCAGCCTTTTGTCCATCTTTGTGGCCTGTTAAATGTGGTATTTATATTTATATACATGTGATTAGACACAGCTAGTAACCCAAAGTGAGAGTAGAATCCTGTCTATCAGCCCTATGTTTGCTGATGTGTGCTTTCTCAAAAACCTCCTTCAGCAGAGAGCCTAGCAGGATAGAAGTTTAAACTCAAGCACATCTGTATTCTTTTTGTCATGTCATCTGTGTTTAAAATCAAACTAGCCTTGTTCTGAAGCCACTATCACACACCTTAGAATGTTTTCTGTTTGTTTGTCCCTTAACCTGTAGGTCTGTTTGTGTGCATCTCTGTGGCTCTTAGAGCTTTTGTCAATGTAATCGTTCACACCCTCTGGGAAGCTCTGAACTTTCAAAAAGATCATTCCTTTCACTGGTCAAGTGAACTGAACTGGTCAAGTTTGAAAATGTAAGGATTTGATGGACACGAGAAAAATAGGCTTGTAAGGAAATGTTAAGAATATTAATTGTATGCTTAAGACTTTTGCAAATTAAAGTGAAGTAGGACTCAAGGAATAATTTTTAAGGTGGTATATATTTTGAAATTGGAAATTTTGCTGTAAATTATATGAGATTCCTACTCATTTTTATAACAGATTTAGATTTATCATTT